TACTGAAGAGGCCAGCTACCAATTACTTCCATCTCAACTAGTACACGCTTCTTCTTGGAAGCTCAGACACTACTTGGTTCATCTCCTTTTGACATTTATTTCCAAAAGACATAGACATAAACTAGGGAGTTCTGTCTTAGAGAACACATTCCTTGTATGATATAAGAAAGAACATGTAGGCCTATATTTAACTTAAACTATTACAGAACCTATGGAATTAAATAGAAATCCATAATATCCTAAAGTTAATTCTACAGATCCACCTTAAAATTAAAGCATTTTTTTAAAAAAATGAACAAACTTTTCAGAAAAAGATAAAAAAGATGTGCTAGACTTACTTGGTGCACACCACATGGGTGATAACATCTCTGTGCATGTAACTACGTTCATACATGGATTGCACTGGGGAGATTATCAAGATAAACTCTTTCAAACTCTAGAACTGAAAAAAAGATAAAGAAAAAAATTTATTTTTAACAACTGGAACTAAATACTATTTTGCAATTCCTTTATTTAAAATTTTCTAAATTATATTTTGTATTTTCTTCTAGATTTTCTTTAATTTCTCTGAACTCACATGTAACGAAAAAAAAATCCAGTGTCTCAAGTATTACACATACACTTAACTGTTCCCAGAACTTAACAACTGAGTGGTTCTGGCTTAACATGCAGGTTCCATTAAAAAACAAAAACATAACCAAAAACCTTAAAAAGTTTCATGAAAATATCACAACCATCTTTCTAACCATGTAGATCCATTCATTAGTACTAATTTAAATAAGTACAGACCTTCCTCAACCTATGATGGGGTTATGTCCCAAATAAACCCACTGCAAGTTGAAAATATCATAAATTGAAATGCATTTAATACACCTAACCTACCGAACATGATAGCTTAGCCTAGCCTACCTTAAACATGCTCAGAACACTTACATTAGCCCACAGCTGGGTGAAATCATCTAACACAAAGCATATTTTATAATAAAGTGTTGAATATCTCATGTAATTTATTGAATACTGTACTGAAAATGAAAAAAAGGTGGTATGTGGATACAGAATGGTTATTAAGTGTACTGGTTGTTTTCTCTGGTGATTGTGTACTTGACTGGGAGCTGCAGCTCACTGCTGCTGCCCAGCATCATGAGATACTGCATATTGCTAGCCAGAGAAAAGATTAAAATTCAAAGTTCGAAGTAGTTTCTACTGAATACACGTAGCTTTCGCACCATGCTAAAGTAAAAAATCATAAGTCGAACCATTGTTAAGTTGGGGACCATCTGTAATAAGAGGCCAGTGGCCATCTATAAAACATCAGTTTTTTTTTGTTTTTTTGGAGGAAGATTAGCCCTGAGCTAACATCTGCTGCCAATCTTCCTCTTTTTGCTGAGGAAGACTGGCCTTGAGCTAACATCCGTGCCCATCTTCCTCTACTTTATATGTGGGATGCCTGCCACAGCACAGCTTGACAAGCAGTGCATAGGTCTGCACCCAGGATCCAAACTGGTGAACCCCAGGCCACTGAAGCAGAATGTGCGAACTTAACTGGTGTGCCACCAGGTGGGCCCCTACATCAGTTTATCTTTAAGGCACTGATCTGCTTTGAAATCACTGATACTGGGTTTTGTCTTTGTTTTTGTTTTTTTGAGGAAGATTAGCCTGAGCTAACATCTGCCACAAATCCTCCTCTTTTTGCTGAGAAAGACTGGCCCTGAGCTAACATTCATGCCCATCTTCCTCTACTTTATTTGTGGGGCACCTGCGTGGCACGGCTTGACCAGTGGCGCACATGTCTGCACTGGGGATCTGAACTGGTGAATCCTGGGCCGCTGAAGTGGAACATGCACACTTAACCACTGTGCCACCAGGCTGGGCCCTGATATGGGGTTTGAAATAGGTAAACGTTAATAAAACACCTAGATTTTTAGAGTTGAGAAAATCCTAGAGAGTATCCTGTTGAATGCTTCTCAAACTTTTTCCAGTGGCAAAACATTTGTAAGAGTGGTAATCTGAGGAAACATTGATTTTATTATATGAGCTATGAACAATTTTACTAGTAAAAAATATTATATGTGTACCTAATAAAATAATTGAGTGATGGCCAAAGGTGTACTAAAAGTTGCTAAATTAAACACAGCGAGATGTTTCTTTTTTTCATAACCATTGTATAGCAGACTCAAAGTTGTATTCAATGAACTACTTTTCCCTTCAGTTTTAGTAACAGAACCCCCATTTTTTATGTGCATATTGACATTCAGATGTAAGATGACCTTTCTCATCTTCTGCAGTTAGGAGTTATCTCATGTGCCAACGAGATAAAAGTGGAAGTGTTGTGTGACAGTCAAGAAGTCTCCTTGAAAAGGTGTGCCCTTCTTCCCTTCCTCAATCCTACAGCTTGGAACTGAGATGAACACTGTAATTCTAATAACCACTCAGGACAAAGATGAGGGTTATACCCTAGTAATGTTTGGGCAGAAAGCTGGAAAAAGCTTAGGTCCCTTTGGAGCCTCCATACAAATCCTAGACAGTCTACTTTGGGACTTCTTTTACACAGGAGGGGAGTATACCTCTATCTTTTTAATATTATAGCAATTTTGGGTTTTTCTGTAATAGGTAGCTAAATTTAATCCCATCTGATATATACTCCTTTTGCTGTTTGTTAGTTCACTTGTTGAAGAGATATTTATTGAAAACAAAATAGGTTCCAAGGCACATGGACATAAAGAAGAGTAACATCTAATTCTTGTCCTTGAGAAACCATCAGTTTAATTAAAGGTAGGGCTGCATAATCTCATTTATAATGTCTTTCTGAAAATGTATACAAAGTCCCATGTCCAAAGAACATGTTAAAGGGGATGGTTGCACTTCTAGAAAGCTATATATATTAAACCGCTGCCCTTTTAGATAAAATTCTCAACAATATTTCTTTAACATTTGATACAAGTTTTTCAATTTTTTTCTTCAAACTGAATACATTATTGACTGGCTTAAATACAACAAATATCTAATTAAGGGTAAAGATTTTCAGCCCTAATAATTTCCATCTCTGTCTCAACTGTCCTAAGTTTATAAGATCTTTGTCTCCTAAAGCTAATATCAGCACTTTGATATTTTTTTATTTTCCCATTCCCCTTATTCATTTCTATTAAAAAAGGACATGCAAAAATATTCTAATGCAATAAAATAAACGAGAGCATAAATATCGTAATATTCATTCATTCATTCAATAAATACTTATTGAGCACCTGCTATAAGCAAAGCACTGTGCCAAGCACTGGAGCAAAACAGGCATGGTCCTTACTCTTGCATGCTTATAGTCTGAGCAGTGGAGAGAAACATTAATCAATCATATGAGTAAATATACAATTACAAAGTGTAGCAAGTGCAATGAGGAAAAAGCTGCTATGGAAGCATTTAACAGGAAGATCTGGCAATAAAAAAGTAACACACTTTAACGGTGTCAAGTACAATGTTCAAAAAAGTAGCTTCTTCGAAATTCAGATACATAAAATATGAAGATTACCTGTAAATTCTATGTGATAAACATGACTTTCAGAGTTATGATCTTACGTGCTTTAGAAACCTAGCCCAGACTGGAGAAATCACAGGTTTCCTCGGAGAGGTGATAGCTGAGTTGAGTGCTAAAGGTTGAACAAAATTAGTCAAGTGAAAGGGGTGAGGGAAATTATTCTAGGTGGAGACATCAAGATACACCTTGGAAGGCATCCAGAGGAGGAAAAAAGCATGGCCCAAGTGTTTTAGTATGGCTAGAGCACAGAGCAAAGGGGAAGACAGAGTTAGGAAAGAGAAGTAATGGAAATGTGCTGGGAGGGTAAGGAGAGATCATAACATGAAGGGCCTTGTATGCCATGTTAGGGAGTTTGGACTTTGTTTTGAAAATAATGAGAAACCGCTGAAGAGTTAAGTAGAGGAGAGTGATAAAGTAAGATTTGAGCTTTCGGAAAGATCATATTTTAATCGTCTCACATGTTTAAGGAACATATTTCATAGAAAAACCTGAAAAATAAGAAAATTTAATCTATTCCTTCCTCTACCCCTTTTATTCGATAAAATTTTGTCTCTATTCCACCTTAGCGGCAAAATGCTTCAGGCCACGGTATCTCATGAGTATGGATTGAAAACCACACACCTCAGGTTTCAGATGAAAAATTTGTGACCCAGGAAACTTATGTAACTTGTTCTAGGTAAGAAAACTCACTAGTAGAACAGTCAGGATTGAAATTATCTTTACCTATTCTTTAGGATGCTACATGGGCACTATCTCCCTCCTCCGCCAATTTTAAATAGGTACGGCCATCCCCCCACATCCCAACATACTAATACCACTCCTGAATGAAAAGCCTTGTAAAGCACCCAGTACCCTTTTCCACATCTGCTAACAGAGTTAGAAGTTCCAACCTCCTACGGCTGCTGTAGGGACTAAATGAGAGGCGCCAAGCCCATAGTAAGTATCGGTATATGTTACCCTTAGTATCTATTACTACATATCAGTGATTAATAGTGTTAGATATTATCCAAAAGACGCTGTACTTAACCCAATCACTATCTCTGGAGGACGTGAAAGTACAGAGTGGCCAGAAGTGAGAAGATGACCCTCTGTTCTGAGAGCACAAAATGCCACAATCACACGCTAGCCGTTTTCGGGTCTGGAGGACGCAGCCTCCTCGCCCTGTGCCTATCTATCTCTGAATCTACCTTTCCTCTTCTTGGCCAGTGTTGCCTCTACAGGTAAAGGCCCAACCCAGCGCTCTTCATTTTCCTCTTCATTCTCTTGGGCGACCGCCACTGACACTGCCAGCTCTCTTTCTCTGCGTTCCGTTTTTTCCGGTTCCTCCGGATCCCGGCGCCTTCGCCGTCTCAGCTGTGAATCGCTACCACCTTCCGCCGCCATATTGCACGAGTAGTCAGAAACGACGCGACCGCCACAGCTCGGCTACCAATCCCAAAGCAGCGGCGCAGCCCTCTCGTCACGGCCGAGCGAACTTGGGGATTGGCTGGGCTGGGTCGGAGCAGATCCAATCAGCAAGCAGCGCGCGCACAGGGCCTGGGCGGGGAAGTCCGGTCTGCGGCCGGCTGAGGCGACCTGAAGGCTCCGGCTCTGCGCTGGTAAGCGGTGGGCAGGGGCAGGCGCCGCGACGGTTGAAACTTGCCGTCGCGGCTGGCGGCTCCAGGGTGTGGGGCTGCAGCCGCGATGGTGGGAGCCTTCCCCCGGGGGAGCTGGATACCCGACGGGCAGCCAGGCCTTGAGTCGCGCTCTTCTCCGGCTCTGGCAGCCCGCGGGTCAGAAGAGACGGAGGGGTGGGGAGATGAAGGAACTGCCGCCGGTCCCCTGCCCTTCTCGATTCGCTCACACCCTCGGAGGAAGGTGGGGAGCGCTCCGTCCCGTTTTCCGGGGAGAGGACCTGCGGCAGGACCGTTCACCCTCTGCCTCCTTCACCCTGCTCTGAGCTTCCTATCCGTCAGCGGCCTTCTGGCCTTCAGCTCTCTTCTTTAAAAAAAAAAAATTATTGTGATAAGAAAACACACAACATAAAATTTACCGTCTTAATTTCTTTTTTAATCCGTTAAATACAGTTTATCGAAATGACCTCCTTAAAACTGCTTTCAAAACCCCACTCAAAATCATCCTGGTTGCTTGTTCCAAACCAGATAAATCTCTTCTTTCCTTTTGCTGTGAGGCGGACACCGGGTACAGGGAAGGAACCGCCCATAGTAAGCCCTTTTTAGAGGGCTTTCTTGTCTTTGTTTTTTCGAATTTTAAAGGCTCCCATTGTTGGACCCGTCCTACCTGGCAAGTCTCCTCGCTTGTCTGCCTTCTGCTCTCCTCAGACCGCTTCGTTTTGTGTCTCAGGTTTGCCGTGCTCACCCTTGCCTCCCAGGCTTGTGTTTTTATGCCTTGACAGCCTCTCCACGGCAAGCCTAGCCTTCACCTTTCCGACTTCTCACCTGATGGAGCCCAAGGCAGCAGTAAGGAGGAGGAGGGGAGGGAGCTAGTACTGTGTACAAGCACTCTCCTGGCCCCTTGTTCTTGCAGGCAGATTCCTCTAGTCTTCTCTGTCCTGAAGGCTGGAGGCACTTGCAGCCTGTGTTGTCTACCTTACCACATCATGGCACCTCTGACTACCTGAAATCCCAGCAGGTGTTTAGTTGTCCGTTTGTTCATTTTCTCTCTCCTCAGTGAAGATGTAAGCGCCACGAGGACGGAGACCTTGTCACCTACTCAGCTGTAGCCACAGTGTCTCACAAATGGCACACATTAAGAACGTGTTTGTTGGACAAAGGACTACAGCTCGGAATTGTATAGGCACTTTCTATTGCTTTATTTCAGGAATATTAGTTTTTCTCCAGTAACAGTAGGGGTTTCTTCAATCTAGTGTTAGATCTGTTAAGTTTGTATGGAATAGTATCCCTAAATATAGCAATATTTTTCTTCAGTAAATGGGAATTGGAGTACTGACTGAGGACCTCAACAAATTGACTTTTCTCTTTCCAGAAGGGTAGATTTAAGGATACAAAATATGGGAAAGGGATAAAGTTAAAGTCTTAACTGTTTTTATTTGTATTCTAGTGCTACATTGAGCTGCCAGTCCAGCTAATTTGTTGAATATCTGTCCACACACGTGCATGCACGCACACAGTTTCACATTACTTTTGTGTGCTGATAATGTATATTGTTCGTTAGTATACTACAAAGTGGGGAAAGATTAATTTGCACTTCATTTCTAAGTTAAGGTGTATTTAAAACAAATATTTGTATAATGTTTGACTGTTTTGCTTAAAAATATTCTAAAATTGTTAATGAATTTATGGCTTTGCAAACTTAACTATATCTTTTGTACATGGCAAGGAAGATGTTTAGTGTAAACATTTTTGGATGTGGCATAAATTATTTAACCAGTCTTCTACTAGTTGACATTGAGATTGTTAACAGTAATATTAGCAGCTAATACTGATAGAGCTCTTTATATGTGAGGCACAAGTCTAAGAGCTTTACATATATTAACTCATTTAATTGTTATCACAACCCTGTGGGGTAAGTTCTGTTATTATCTTCATTTTACAGATCACTGGAAACTGAGGCACAGACGGTTTAAGTGACTTGCTCAAGGTTACACAGCTTGTAAGTGTTGAAGCCAAGATTTAAACCTAGACAGTCTGATTGCAGAGTTCACACTTAAAAGTTTTTTATAGATAATGCTACAGTAAGCATACCTGAGTAGACTTATGCAAATATATATATTACTAGGAGTAGAATTTCTGGGTCAAAGATAAATGCATTTAAAAATTTGATGGATATTGCTTATTATCCTACAAAGTGACTGGTCTGCCAACCATGCATCCCTCTTGTTCTACACTCTTGCCAATGTTGTTTCTTATAAAATTTTTCATTATTGCTAGTCTGAATGAAAAGTAACTCTAATTTGCATTTTTATAAGTTTGACTGAGGTTAAGAAGGCATTTTTTCTATATTTAAAGATGTTTCTTATTTTTTCTTTTTTCTTTAAATTCCCACTTGTGTCCTTTGCCCTTTTCTATTGCAATGTTTTTGTTGTTTACCTTTAGTCTCTCCATTTGGTCTATTTCAGTCAGAAGCCTCTCTCTTCTAATACCTCCTTCTCTCCCTCCCTCCAAAAGTAATCGATAGCCTGACTTTTATAGTGATAGTTTTTTTGAGGGTTTTTTTTTATGATTGGTTGTTAGTTTTTTCTTCTAAATTTGTAGGCATTCATTATACATCAAGGAAATTAGGTCTTGGGTGCCATACATATTAGAGATATTTTTCTTAGGTTTTTGGGTTTTAAATTTTAACTTTTTAATGATATTATTATCCATGCAGAATTTTAAAAAATTTTATATAGAGATTTTACTTAGTTTTCCTTAGAAAGGCCTTTCCTAATCCAAGATCAAAAAAAAAATTCTCCATGTTTTCTTCCTGTTTGTTTTTATGATTTCTGTTTGGATTTTTTGAGAGATGGAGGAGTGGTGTAAACATCAAGGTATATGTCTAGGCTTATTTTTTCTCCCCAAATACTATGCAGTTTGTTTAAAAAAACCAAAAAAGGAGGGGGTCTATATGTGCCAAAATATACATGGAAAAAAACCCAGAGTAGTGTATAAAATATGCTCCTATTTGGATTGTTCTTTCCCTTTAATTTGCATTGCTTCTTTTGTCATATATCACTCACCATAAATGTGTGAGTCTAGAAAGGCTTTATATTATGTTCCATTGTTTAATTTGCCTATCCATGTGCTAATTCCAAACTATCATAATTAGTATAGTTTTATAATATGTTTAACATCTGGTAAGGCAAATTTTCCAATCTTATTCTTCATGATGGTCTTGGCTGTTTTTGGCCCTTTGTATTTCCATATAAAGTTTAGAATTAGCTTGTCAAGTGCCAGACATACAGAAAAATTTAGAATTTTGATTAAGATTCAATAGACCAATTTTGGGGAAATTAACATGTTTATAATATTGAGTCCTCCAATCTATGAACATGATGTATCTATTCAAGTCATCTTTAAAACCTCTTTGTTGATAAGTAATTGATTAAGCTATATAAAACTTAAGTTCCATATGAATAAAAGTATTTTCGGGGGGTGGGTTATTCTGATTCGCATTTGGTGTTGTGGAGTAGACACCCTCATTGTTCTTTATGGCTCCGCCCACCTCCATAAAATTGCCCAACTTTGGATCTCATCCATCAGTCTGCCACCTGCCATTCCTCTTTGCAGCAGTCATCTAGCACGATTATGTCACGCTCCTCATTCCTTGAAGACTTTCAGCTCTTGGCTCACTGTCACCCTCTGCAGCACTACTACCATAATTCTTGGTGATTTTAATATCCACATAGAAGATACTTCCAATAACCTGGCCTCTGTTTTTCTTGACCTTTCCTCCAGTGATTATATTCTCTATCTTAGCTGTGTACTCCTATGGTCATATCTGAGAGACTTTGTCATTCTTTCACTCTGTCTCTCTCTGCATCTATGCTACTACACTGTAGAGAAAAATGTACAACTGTGTATTAGTTTCACTTTAGATTCATGACTGCTAATCTCAAATGGGCCTTTAGTGCTACCCAGTAATCCTACTATTTTACCCTCTTCCGTCTCTTCCATATCTGTTTTATACATTTCTTCTGCTTTTAAACCTCCAATGCTTTGTTTCCATCCTCATTCACAGCTGATGACCTTAGTTATCATTTCACTGAGAAAAGAGAAACAACCCAAACAGAACTGCCGTAAGCTCCTAGCAACAGATCTACTCACCTACCTACATTTGTGTCCCTAATATTCTGCCTACCATCACATTAAAATAGATGAACCGTGTGTACATTCAAAGCCAACCCCTCTACTTGTGTACTAGATCCCATTCTTCTTGTTCTCTCCTTTCTCTCCTGCATCAACAATATTTCCTCTTACTGTATCATATAAAGACGCTGTACTTTCTCTCATCTTACAAAAAAGAAATCTCTCTCTTGACCCCAATCTCCCTCCAGGTGGTACCTTATTTCTCTTTTCCTTTAGAGAAAAAAATTCTTTAGAACGTTTTATACACTGGGTATGTTTAGTTACTTGCCTTCTATTCTCTCTTAAATCCACTCCAATCAGGCTTTCACTGCTACCATTCTACTGAAACTGCTCTTATAAAGATTAACAGTGGCCTCCATTTTTATGATTTACTCCAGTGAAATTGTTGTGACAAATTACCCCAAAACTTAGAGGTGTAAAACAACCGTTTATTATGCTCAGCCATTCTGTGCATCAAGAATTCAGACAAGGCACAGCAGGGACACCTTGTCTCTGTTCCACAATGTCTGGACCCCGTCTAAAAGATTCAAAGCCTGGGGACTGAGTCATCAGAAAACTTGTTCATGTGCATGTCTGGTGATTGAGTCTGACTTTTGGTTGGGAACCTCAGTTCCTTTCTATGTGCACTTCTCCGTGTGGTCTCTTCATTTTGTGTTAGTTTGGGCTTCCTCACAGCATGGTGGCTGGGTTGCAAGGGTGAGTGTTCCAAGAGAGAGGCAGACGTAAGCTATATTACCCTTTGTGACTTAGTTTTGGAAGTCATGTGGTGTGTCTTCCACTTTATTCTATTCATAAAGGCAATCAGAAAGTCACACTGAAGTTCAAGGGGAGGGTAAATAGGCTCTGCCTCTGGATGAGGGGGTGACAACCTGAAATAATTGCTGTGACTATTTTTGGAAAATACAGTCCCATATCTATATTGCTAAGTTAATTGTCAATTCTCTGTTTCTATCTTACTTGACCTATCTCTAGTATTTGACAGTTCACCACTCCTTCCTTGAACGCTTTCTTATCTTGGGTTTCAGGATATCAAACTCTAGATTTTCCTCTTACCTTACCTGGTGCTCCTTCTAAGACTATTTAGATGGTTCTTCCTCATCTTCTCAAACTCTCCAGGTCTGAAACTCTTCTTATTTCTGTACATTCTTGCTTTTCTGAACTCAGCCAGCCTCATGGCTTTAAATATCTGTATGGTGATGACTGAAATTCTAACTTGAAACTTTCCCTTGAACTCCAGGCATGTATATCCAACTGCCTAATCAGCAGCTCTACTAATAGACACCTTAAATTTCATGTGTCCTAAACTGAATTCTTAATCATCACTCCCCTGCATCTTGCTGAATCTATTTCTTCCATCACCTTTCCCGTCTCAGTAACTGGCAACTCCATCTCTCCATTGCTTAGGCACAAATTTTTTTAGTAATAATTGACTCCTCTCTTTCTTTGACACTCTATACACAGGATGTTAGGAAATCCTGTTGGCTCTATCTTGAAAATATATTCAGAATTGCACATTTTGTACTGCCTCAATATTATCCTGGTCCACATCTTGCTTGGATCATTGCAATAGCTTTCTAACAGGCTTTCTTGCTTATGTTCTTCCTGGCTGTAGTAAACAGAATTATACTGTTAAAACGTAATTCAAGTCATGTCATTTCTCTGTTCAAAATCCTCTAACTGCTTATCATCTCAGCCTAAGTCCTTAAAATGGCCTACAAAGCCCACATGATCTCAATCCTATTATCTCTCTGACCTCATCTTCTGTTCTCTACCTTACTTACTCTGCTCTGGTCACATGGGCTGCTTTGCTGCTCTAGGAACATGGCAGTCATATTTCTGCACAAAGGCTTTTGCACTTGCAGTTCCCTCTGCTTGGAGCCTCTTCCCCTGAATGTCCCCATGTCTCACTTCCTTATCTCTTTCAGGTTTTTGCTTAACTGTCAACTTCTCAGTGACCTTATCTGACAAGGTTATGTAAAATTACATTGCCTCTGCCCTAGCACTCCCTGTGTTTCTTCCCTGCCTTACTTTTCTCCATAGCACTTATAAATCATTGGATATACTCAGTATATATATTTTTAATTTTTTTGGTTTATTTTCTGTTTTCCGTAACTAGAACGTAAGCTCCATAGTAGGAGGATTTTTGCCTATTTTATTCACCATTTCATCTTTAGCTCCTAACTGAGTATCTGGCAGGTAATAGATGGTCAACAAATATTGTTAAACGAATAAAAATTTTTTACTTTAGATTTTCTTATAAGGCTAAGAAAATTATAAGGCACATGTCAGTGAATCAGCAAGATCTAGATCCAGATAGTACTACAGAAGTGGAAGATGTTACAGATGCTGAAGAAGAACTTATTAAAGAATGTGAAGAACTGTGGAAAGATATGGAAGAAGTAAGTATCAAGAGATAAAAGTGATATATCAATTAATTACTATAAGATTTAAATTTAATTTCAATAATAGATTTAGGAAACAAATAATTATGCTGGTTCCTGAAAGCCATTGTATTATATGATAAATATTTATATAGTTTTTAGACCTATAACCATTCATTCAAGAAACTTTATACTAGGTGAGCTGTAGAAAGAGAAAAAATTATAGCAATCCTGGCCCTCAATGAGATTATTATCTAATGGAGGCAAAAGCCATTATATTAGAAGTATTGTGGCAGAAGTGCAAAGACTATACTTAAGAGAAGTACTAAACATAGACTAAAGAGGTCAAGGATACTTTCTAAAAGAAGTAATAACTGAATTAATTTCTAAAGGGTAAATAGGAATTAGCCTATGAAAGTGGGAGCAGTATACAAAGCAGAAAGAACAAAATATATAAAAGTTGGGAGAGTTTAGAAAAATCTAAGTAGAATATTATGGTTTATGTAAATTAGGAGAAGAAGGACTTGTGGAGTGAAACTGGAGAGGTAATTAGGGGCAAGAACATGAAGGATTTTCTTGAGTGTATACTATGAGGAGCCATTAAAGGATTATAAACATGAAGTGACATGATGGGTTTTGTAGTTTGGGAAAATCACTCTGGTGGTTTTGAAGAAAATGGAATGCAAAAGAGTGAGAAAACAGGTAGAGGGCCGGCCCGGTGGCTCAGTGGTTAAGTTCGCACGTTCTGCTTTGCGGTGGCCCGGGGTTCACCGGTTCAGATCCCGGGTGTGGACGTGGCGCTGCTTGGCAAAAGCCATGCTGTGGTAGGTGTCCCACATATAAAGTGGAGGAAGATGGGCACGGATGTTAGCTCAGGGCCAGTCTTCCTCAGCAAAAAGAGGAGGATTTGCAGTAGTTAGCTCAAGGCTAATTTTCCTCAAAAAAAAAAAAATTTAAAAAAAAATAGAAAACAGTTAGAAAGAGCATTTAGGAGGCTCTAGTAGTCTTGTTAAGTACTGAAGGCCTAGATTCTGTCATTGCAAAGAGAGAAGAATGGATTCAAGAGATATGAAGGAGGTAGAATCAAAAGGACTTGGAAGTCACTTGTGAAATGGGGAGGAATTATGGGTAGTTTCAGGTTCATGGTTTGAGCCATTGGGTGGTTGGTGGGGTTATTTCCTAAGATAGAGAATATAGAAGTGAGGAGAACACATAATTATGGAGTTTGAGTGAAAATATGGACTAAGTTAGAAAATGTGTTTGAAATGTATGTACATTTTCTGGGGTAGTGCAACAGAACCACTTCTGGTACACTACAGGATGTTGGTAAAAATTTGTTCTACTTATAGTAGTGTAATGGATGATATATAGGCCACAGACATTTTTCATATCCTGTTCTGTCCAGTAAAGTTTCAGATTAGGACAGGTTAGTGGCTCTTTTGCTTTAAAAAGATTTTTTTTAACGTAAATCTTTGGTACTCCATCATTAAGTGTATTTTCAAGGTAATTTATATAATCCTTTTTTTTGCTTTTGTTATTTTTTCACTATAGAAATTTGAATTTAAAAATATAATTTTTTTGGTAGAAGAATATTGTAACTATAAATAAGTACAATTAAAATTTAAATTATTCATATTTTTACCTCAGATATAATCACTCTTAATGGTTGTAGATTTTTTTTTTGATGGCATAGAAACACTGTCTCCTGAAGACTATTTTCTTATGATCTTAACTATCTTCTTACCTCTTTTATTATTTTTCTATAATGCTTTCCCTCTTATTCTCTTATTTTCCATTTTTCCAGTATCTGGCTTTTAATTCACTCTAGCTATTAGTTTTTGTTTTGTTTTTCCTTATGCTCATTTTCTCATTCTGTATAAAAGGCTAGTATCCCCTTTTGCTTTTCATGTATTCACCTTGGGACCTGTTTGGCTTCCTTCCTGATCCTCTTGCTTAGAAAGGGAGGAATTAAACAAACTCTTCTCTTTCATCAGATATTTGTATATTTAGAGGAATATTACATTGAGTGGTCTAAAAGGGGAGAAGAAGAGAATTGGCTGTGGGTTATAGTATGTGACTTGATTTTCTTTACTTTTTACATCAAGTGTCAGAATAAACTATCACTTGTTGGAACTGAGACACTCACTGAATCAAATGCTCAGGTATGAATCCTTTTTATCTTCCTGAAATAGCTAAGTGGAATTCATTGTATTTTGGATAAGAAGTATATTTGTCTATATTTATCCCAAGTGTAATAGCTGTGTTAACAGCTGTGTGCCTAATCATTTGGAAAATACTCTTTCTGACTTAAGAAAGTATTCTAAAAAATTTTTGACTAAGCTGTTATAAATAAATAAGAGAATATTTTCTTTGTTATATATCTTTTAACAGCTACATATACATTTAACTGTTGAGTGACTTGCTCTTTGGCTGCTATTATGATACCTGTTAAAAGAACAAAGACTGTCTTACTTTGTGTTAGGTACAGCAGCCACAGTTATTTTAATATCTGTATGGAATCTTAACTGATTTTACCCTAAGCTTAACAAAGGATTATTATCCATTTTAGTAATCAAAGACCTATGGAATTGGTTTAGGAATAAACCAATGGATAAAGTTGAACAGAGTAACACTTTAAAATGTGAGTAAGATGGTAGTTTCAATCTGTGGGAAAGTGATGAATTAATTTATAAATGGTAGTGGTACAACTAGATATCCATCTGGGAGAAAATAAAATTGGACTTCTATGTCTCATTATATAGACATAAATTCTAGATAGATATGCCATACGTATCTTATAAGAAAAGCTCAGAGACTATTAGTGCAATCTAGGGACAGGGGAAAACTCTTGGCTAATAATAGAAATCTAGACATTATAAAAGAAAATTTAGATGTATTTGACCATATAAAAAGTCAAAAATATTTTATTGATAAAAATTCTAAGAACAAAGTCAATGATACAAATGATTTCAATGAAAGTTCTCCAGAACTTTTGGGAGCATATCAAAAGACATAGGAACCAATTGAAGGCACTCTTGTTGCCCAAATTTGGTATCATGTGAGCATCAAAAGGAATAATGGCTTTGATTTATTATAGCTATGAAAAAATAAAAGTCTATGAGCATAATAATACTCAATAAAAAATGAGAATGAGAGAGATAAGGAAAGAAGGGGAAAAAACTAATTTGTCACTTTTGAAACTGCCTATTGCACTAGATCTTTAATCTAAAAATGGATGATAAAGAATTAAGCTGTCTTTTGGAAAAATTTTTTTATCCATCAAATATAGAGTTCTATGGTACAGTGTAAAACTGATTTTTTATTTGGAAAAGCTTTATACAGTAAATAAGCTATCATCTGGTTTTCTTGGGAAGTGTGGTTCTTATGTTGTAGAAATTGAGACCTCCTGACTGAGAATCATTTGGGATGGGGCCTATAAGTGTCCTGAATGATTTTCATGCAATAAGCCAAACACTGGCTTTGAGGGAAGTGCTTATGTAATTGTAAATGTGCAATGTCCTGAGATATTCAATAATAACGTTATCTAAAGAATTCACAAAATGCCTTTTCCTATTGTATTGAGGGTCCCCAAGAATACTCCCAGGTTGATGATTCTCTAAGGGGACTCATAGAACTCAGTATATGGTCATACTCATGGCTGAGATTTATTACATTGAAAGGATACAGAATAAAACCAGTAAAGAGAAAAAGAGATGGGTGAAGTCCAGAGGAAACCAGGTGTGAACTTTCAGGAGTCCTCTCCCAGTGGAGTCACTTAAGACGTGCTTAATTTCCCCAGAGAGTTCTGATAAGTGTGAAATGTTGTCTACCAGGGAACCTCCTTAGAGACTCAGTGCCCAAGGTTTTTTGTAGGGGCTAGTTACATAGCCACCCTCTGCCTAGCAGTTATCAAAATACCAGACTCCCAGAAGGAAAGCAGGTATTCAGCAGAAATCATAATCTTTGCACATTTTAGGCACAGAGAGCCAGTCTTATCAGTTAGGTTAGTGGGAACCATTTCAAAATTCAAATTCCCAGATGCCAGACAAGAGCCTTTAAGGATAGTCTCAGACTTGCTTTGTTAACTCTTTTCTGCACACCTAATAACTTCAAAACTTCAATATTAAAATTCAGTTCATTTTCTGAAGCAAGAAGTTGGATATTTTAAATGAGAAAATGGCAAGATTTCTCAAGTTTTTGTGTTTAAATCACTTTAGAAATACTACTGTTACTTTCTTTTCTTAGAAAATGTTTAATTTTATAGCGAGATCAGAAATAATTTGGGTATTTGCCTTACCTGGGCTTTGGCAAGGTAAGAGCTGTGCTTCGTCAATACAGTGTGAAGTTGAACTGTATGAAATTACTGGTTTTTAATAGGTTGAAAAATGAATATCGGTAACTATATGTTTCAACTTGATATGTACAGAAAAAGTGATATGGATTCCTTATCATTATGATGGTTTTGCCTATTTTAGATACTACTTTCTAAGAATTTGTTATCCTTTCCTAGTGATAATAATAATTAACATTTATAAATCGCTTTATAGTTCACAAAAAACTTTTTCACATTCTTATTTAATTATTTATAAGAAAATAATGTTAAACTCTCCTTTGGTAAAAATTTTAAATACCTGTAAATGCATTTTTATATAATTATATAAAGCATTCAAAGAGACCAGTTTCTTTTTCCTTTGACTGTTTAACAGGCAATGTTATGATACAGAGCAGAGTCTTTGAGCTACCTGCTCTGTATCGTAAAATTGGGTTAGAAAAGACAGTACTTGGTGTCCTTTTAGTGTAAATATTCCAGTAATACCGATTGCATTTTTGAAATGTGAATTTTTGATCTGTCTGGCTATTAATAAGGATTATATAGAGGAGATAAAAAATGTTCTGAAATTTAACTTTAAGCGTACATAGACTTTAATTTTATGGTCTGATCAAGCGACAGATTTATCACATAGATTTGTAATTATCAGAATTATAATGATTGGAGCCGCCTAATATCAGAGACATATCCATCCTAATTTATCTTTGGCTAAAGGGGTGCACAATTTAAAATTTGTGTAAAAAATGTTGGCAAGAAATAGCCTATTTTTTAAAGAAATATTGGTTTAGAGAATAAACTTAATGTATGTATGTTCTTTTATTTTAGGTTGAGTGGTGAAGTAGAATTGATCTTTTTTTAATACTATATCATTAGTATAACAGTCAATTTATGAGCTATGATTAGTATGTTTTAAAGCAGAATTCTGTTTGGAGTGATAATCTTTTATAGTTTAGCTAGGTAATTATGTTAGCTATTTATGTTAGAAACTTGTATTAAAGTATAAGAATGTCTATACTTTCGTCTATGAATGGCTATGAATGGCATTCAACAAGAAATGATTTTGTCTTATTCTCTTGTTCTTTTTTAATAGCTATCATTATTAATTATGCAAATGAAATGTTTGACTGCTGAACTCAGTCAATGGCAGAAAGAAACTCCTAAAAGTAAGATTCTTATTTTTAGGTTTATATTTTTGTAAACAAATTACTGTAATGGCAAGTTAATTTAGTGATCACAAGAAGAGTTACAAGATCCAGTTAGCCTTCTTGAAATTGCCTAAATTCCATTGATATTAGAAAGCCACCTCAGTTTTCTTTCTGTTTACACATTGTTTTCTGCTTATTTTATTATATAGATAATAAGAAACATATCTGTCTCACGTTAGAGTGTAGTAATTTTGATTATGGAGACCTTATTATAGCCATCATTTTATCCTGATAGATACTATCTTATATGCTCAGTAGAAACTATAAGTTGTTTCTTAATGAATGAAACTTATCTAGTATAAGAGAAAAGTTATTTTAGATACTTATTTATGTAAGGGCCGCATAGATTGTTATGTTGCCTCTTGATTTGTCCAGCAGAGGCCGACTGTATTTTTGCCTTTAGTTGAGATATAGAAGATGGCTTAAAAATCTGTAGTTATAATACCCAGCTGACCATGTGTGTATCTGTATTTGTGGTCTATATAAATTGTACCCTCTTTTTCCATGTACATCTTCCTTCCCCTTTCTCCTACCCCTCTGTCTCCTATTCCTTTAACTCCCTCCACTTCCCTTCTCAGTCTCCTTTGTTGGCTTATCATTCTCTATTCCAGTTATGGGGATTCTTTTCTCCTCATTCTCTTCCTAGATAATTTCATCCATTCTTGGTTTTAATTACTATATTTACGCTAATGTCCTTCATTGTTCCACGTCTTCGCTACCACTTAGTAGTCTTTTTAATTTTAGCACTTCTGGTAAGTATATGTATATACAATTGTGATTTTAATTTGCATTAAACTTTATATCCTATTGCCTCCTCAGCCTATATTGAGCATCTCAAAGGCTGCTCATAATCTGCTGTTAAAATCTTGGTGTTCTCCCGAGGACTGTGCTCAGCTGTTTTTGCTTCTTACTCTGTATGTTATTCCAGCATTATATTTTCTGCTTCTGTTTTTGTTTATTATATCTGTATTAATGACTTGTGTAGTAGTTTGCTAGGGCTGCCCTAACAAAGTACCATGGACTGGGTGGCTTAAACAACAGAAATTTATTTTCTCACAATTTTGGAGGCTAAAAGTCCAAGATCAAGGTATTGACAGGGTTGGTTCCTTCTGAGGCCTTTTTTCTTGGCTTATAGATAGCTGTCTTCTCCTAGTGTCTTCACATGGTCTCCCTCTGTGCCCATCTGTGTCCTAATCTCTTTGTATAGGGATGCCAGTCACGTTTAAGTAAGGCCCATCTGAATGACCTCATTTAACATAATTGCCTCTTTAAAGACCCTATTGTAAGTACAGTCACATTCTCAGGTACTGGGAGGTTAGGACTTCAACGTGAATTGGTCTAGGGGAGAGGCACGATTTTCATAACAACTTGCAAATCTATATATCCAAATCATACTTATATAGCTTTCTACCTTAGAGAGATCATTTCCAAAATATTCTATAGATTCAGATTCATGTCTCAGATTCATGAACTGATCTCTGTTCCCAAAATATTCTACAGATGCCTCAGATTCATGGTCTGATCTCTGTTGAATGGAATCTATTTGATTAGACATAAATTTAATAGTCCTTCTAGATTCTTCCTTTTTCATATTTCACATACAGCCAGTTATTAACTATTGAGCCCTACTGCCACAGATTTAGTTTAGGCCTTCATCACCAATCCATTAGATTATTATAATAGACTTTTTACTTCTTGATCAAGATATTTTTAATTAGTTGTAGAAACTTTCAAACTTAAAGAAAAGTTAAAGGTCCAACTTCATTCTTTTGCATGTGTATCGAGTTTTTCCAATACCGTTTGTTGAGATAACTGTCTTTTCCCCCATTGAATTGTCTTGGCACCCTTGTCAAAAAAATGTGAGGATTTATTTCTGGGCTCTGTTCTATCCTGTCGGTCTATATGTCTGTCTCTATGCCAGTAGCATACTGTTTTGATTACTGTAGCTTGTAGTAACTTTTGAAATTAGAAAATATGAAACCTCCAACTTTGTTCTTTTTTCCCCAAGATTGTTTTGGCCATGTGGGTTCCCTTGAGATTCTGTGTGAATTTTAGGATGGATTTTTCTGTTTCTGCAAAAAACATTGGGATTTTGATAGGGATTGCATTGAATCTGTAGCTCACTTTGAGGTAGTATTGACATCTTAACAATGTTAAGTCTTATAATCATGGAACACATATGTCTTTCTATTTATTGGTGTCTTTAATTTCTTTCAGCAATATTTTGTAGTTTTTAGGATACAGATCTTTTGCCTCCTGGGCTAAATTTTATTTCTAAGTATTCTTTTTGAGGCTATATATCGGAGTTTTTAATTTTTATTTTTCTTATTATCATCATCCCTTACATACACACCTTGTCCTGGTAACACCAAACACACAGGCTGCCATATTGGTCAAGTACCCTTCTTAAGGTTGCCAGTTTCATAGGCTGCCACACTGTAAGGATTTTAAAAATCTTTATATTCTTAGAACCTGCCGTATTGTATTGGTTGAAATGACTGAATGAATATTGAAATGCTTCTCTTGGCCAAACTGGCCAAGAGGAAGATTTTTAGACTTTGTGTTCTTAAAATCCTTCTCACTGCATTTTTTGATATGAATAGTAGCCCTCCTGAGACTTCTAATCGGTTCTAATATAGAACCTATGAAGCACATCTAGGAAGCTCTTTCCTATTAGAAGACCCTATAGAATAGCAGATAGCTTAGAAAGTTTTTGGTAGCATGTCATTTGAGAAATTTTAAATAGCACTTTGTTAGGAAAGGTAAACTTTCCTAAGTATATGGGTTGAACTTTTCTAAGCATAAGGATTTAATTTTGCTATACAAAATTAAAATGAAATATTAGTTTGTGCTCATCAGATTGGCACAAATTTTAGAAGAGTTTATATCTTTTGCTGTTTCTTATTCATTGTTCATAGAAATTCTTTAGAAAATAATCTGGCATCCTGTATTAAAATTCAAAATACACATTTCCTTCTGTGAAATTCCACGTCTGGGAATCTGTCCCACAGAAATTAAAGCACAAATACATAAAGACACAAATAAAAGAATGTTACTGTATCATTGCTTTTTGTGGCCAAAGCTAGACATAAATTTAATGCTATCATTGGCAAAACCACTGAATACATGGTATATTCACCCTGTGGAATATTATGCAGCGACTTAAAGGTATTAATTAGAGTTATACTAGATCAATAGAAAGGATTCTCATGGGGCTTTTTTTGAGTCAAAACAAGATACGAATAATATGTGTGCTATGATCCCATTCTTGTAAAACCAGCAATGAAATAATTAATAACCCTTGGATGTATATGTATATATATGTATATGTATGCATGCATAGGATCATATGAGTACAGAAAGAAATATTAAGGAACACATTATAGATTATTAATTTTGCTTTTGAGGGATTGAGAAAACAAAACAAGAAAGGAAAAAGGTACTAAAAACAAAATGCATAAATATCACATTTGTCTAAAATTATATATGTTGGTTATATATGTAAAGATGTTAAAAATGATTTCATAAAAACTGCACACATTTCATAAAAACTTCTGTAATATGTACATAGAAAGGGAAGAGAGTTTCCTAGAAAGCACAAAATCAAATTTTTTATTTTTGAGGGTTAACTAAGCGTTTGTATAATTTTGTTTCATTTTGTTTCTGTAGTAATTCCACTGAATGAAGAAGTTCTGCTAACATTAGGAAAAGAAGAGGTAAGTCACTTAATGAATTTCTATAACCCCAAAAATTTATTACTAGAAGTGTTTTGGATAAGTTCATGACATAAGAAGTAGGGTGAAACCACTTTAAAACCATATTAATTTTTCTATTTTTATCTTAATTATGTTTTATTAAACAGAATATTTTGAGTTTTAAAATTTTTGAATTCAATCCAAAAATTTGAATTTTGAACTCAATTTGTATATCAGAACTATCACTAAAGTTTAATATGTAAACTTTTACTCTTGTACTTAATTTTTAGTTTATTAAACTCTCTTCATAATAAAGAAGAAAGGTTAAGCTAAATTGTCATACATATCCATCTTTCCTTCTCAAAACTTAAGATAAATGTCAATACAGACATGTTTTTAAAGTTTAATTCCATTTGGTCAAAGTATAGGAGAGAAGATAGACTCAAACAGGAATTTTAAACAAGGTTGTAGAACATGCAAAGAGATAAGTATCTGTGTGCCCTTAGAGACAGAAATAGTGATTAAAAGAGAGATTATCTGCCTTATAGAATTGAAGAAAGGCTTGGAATTTGAAGGAACCTGGTACTGCAAAATTCAGGGTTCAAGCGTGTGCTAAAAACAAGGTTTCTTTAAAGTCAGAACACGGACTATTAGAATTTTTCTCTCTTATAGTCAAACAGCTAACTTTTTATTCACATACCTGAAAACTGGAGGTATATGGCATAGAGGCATTAAATTATTGAGGCTCTGGACTCAGGGACACCAGGTTGGGTGTTTAGTAGGGGTGGTGTGCAGGTCAAAAGTCAGAAAGCTCAAGTTAACATTTTCATACAGTTTGGTGGAAGTACCAGCTCTTCTCCCTGCTCTGTCTCTAGAGGTTCTGTAGCCTGGTATAAAAATAGCCTCCAACAGGAGATAAAATAATCTCTGGAAAATCTAAATGGCCCAAGAAAAAAGATCTATAAGTATTAATAAATGGAAGTCCCTGGTAAAAAAGCAGGGTGGCTGTACTAACAAAGCCCCATTCATAAACAGAGTTTTTAGTAAGTTTTTGATTTTTAAATATGAACGTCCAGCCAATGATCATCAATATTTGTGAAATGCCTCCAAATGGAAAGGCAGAAACCCAAAACAGTTGACAAATATGAACCTTAAGGAAATAGAAAAATTCAAGGAACAAGGAGAGTTTAATAAAATAATATCTTCAGAGAGATAAAACAATTTGTTGAGTCCACAAAATAACAATGCCAGTTTTTAAAAAAGACAACTTTATATCCCCTATGATGGCTATGATCAAAAGATAGACAATAACAAGTATTGGTGAAGATGTGGAGAAATTAGAACACATATACACTGCTGATAGGAATGTGAGATACTGTAGCCATTTTGCAAAACAGGCTGGTAGTTCCTCAAAAGGTAAACGAGTTATTGTCTGAACCAGCAGTTTCACACCTAGGTATATACCCAAGAGAAATGAAAATATGTGTGTGAAAAACTTACACACAAATGTTCATAACAACATTTTTCTTAATAGCCAAAAGGGGCAAGCAACCCAAATGTTAATCAACTGATGGATGGATAAATAAAATGTGATGTATTTATACAATGGCATATTATTTGTCAATAAAAAGAAATGAAGTACTGATATATGCTATAATATGGATGTACCTTGAAAACCTTATGCTAAATGAAAGAAGCCAGTCACAAAGGATCACATATTATACGATTCCATTTATATCAAATATTCATAATAGGAAAATGTATAGGGATGGAAAGTAGATTGTTGCTTGTTGATTCAGGCTGGGTGATTAGAAAGGACATAGTGAGTGCCTGCTAAAGGATACTGCTAACAGGTTTCCTTTTGGGGTGTGAAAATGTTCAAAAATTGGTTGTGGTGATGTTTGTACAACTCTGTGAATATACTAAAAATCATTGAATTATATACTTTAGATGAGTAAATTGTATGATATGTGAATTATACCTCAATAATGCTGTTAATTTTAAAAGGGAGCATTCAGAGAACAAGAAGGTGCCCTTCTAAATGAAAATATGATAGCTGAAATAATCACAAAGGAGATTGGTAATTATAGTCATGGAAATCTCCTAGAGAGTAGGTTAGGAATGGAGAAAAAAAGGAAAATTAGAATAATAGAAGATAAGAAAACTAGAGTATCAACTCAAAAGGACAAAATATGGCCAGTAGAAGTTCCACAGTAGAAAAAAGTAGAAAGGAAGATATTATAAAATAAATACATGAACATTTTTCCCAGAATGAAAGATAATGATTTTTCTCCACATTGAAAAGGTCCACCAAATTTCCAACATCATTAATTAAAAATGATATATGACATAATGATCCAGCATAATTTTCCCATTGGTAGCAGCCCTTAGGCTAGCAGCTGTAGTTTGGACTGGCCGAAATCCAAACCTGATGCAGTGCCAGTATCTGCCTCAACAGTCTACTTTTGTTTTAACTGTTACAGATAAAAATAACAAAAGGATTGAATATTTGGCTTGTTTCTCATTATTTTGCACTTCCTTATGCATTCAGTGAGCCAACTCTGAGAATTATTTCTATCATGTCTGAATTTCATTGATAAAGTCTACCTACAGTAACTGATCACAGTGCAGCTCTTGTCGTATACCTTTGTTGACTTGATAACCATCAGGCATCAAAGATTCATCATCCCCTGGCCCATCATCCTTCCTTTTCCCGAACAGTGCTTTCACCAGGTTTCAGTAAGACAGGGTCATTATAGTAAATTCCACTTCTGATGCCAGCTGTGTCAGGGTTTTCCCCAAGATCAGTCTGAGGTCCAGTGATTCACTACATGGGCTCACAGGACTCAGATGAACTATTATACTCATGGTTACAGTTTATTATAGTGAGAGGACACAGGTAACAATGAGCAAAGGGAAAAAAGGCACATGGACCAAGCTTACAGGAGTCCTTCCCCAGTGGAGTTGCATGGATGCATTTAATTCTCCCTGCAACTGTGTGTGGCAATATGTGCCAAGTGTTGATACAGGGAAATTCACCCAAGCCTTGTTGTCCAGTGTTTTTATCAGGAAGCAGTCACCGTGTGCGTAGGGCCTCTGTGACTGACTACCCAGAGTCACCTCTGTGAGCTACCCAGACTCCAGCCCCCCCAGAGCAAAAATCCATTCACCATAAATCACATAGTTAGAATAAACTCTCTTATCAAATTGATACTAAGCCGCCCAAGGCCCCAGGCATATGAAAGCACTCTTATCAGGCAGAATATTCCAAGGCATCAGAGCTCATCTTCCAGGAGTCCACCAGGGACCAGTCCTAAAGACGGACCTTTCTTGGTAATGTGCAGAGTTTGTGCAACCTTGGCCTGCTGAGTTAACCCTTTCCTGTATACTTGTCTTTTTATTCTCTAAACAGTGTCTTTTGAAGAACTTAAGTTCCTAATTTGATTAACTCCATTTTCTCAGGTTTTCTCTTAAGGTTTGTGCTCACATATAAGAAATATTTGCCCAACTTAACGTTACAAAGATTTCTTGCATATTTTCTTTTAGAAATTTTAAAGTTTTAGGTTTCAAATTTAGATCTGTGATACATTTTGAAACAATGTTTGTATATGGAATGAGTTATTGATAAAGGTTTTTTTTAATATGGATACTAATTGTTTCAGCACAAGTTGTTGAAAAAATGATCCTTTCTCTTGAATTTCCTTTGCACATTTATTGAAAATTAATTGGATCTATTTCTAGACTCTCCCTTTGTTCTCCATTTCTGCACTGTGGATAGTTCTCTTCCTTTGTTCTATGTTTTTCTCTTCAGGCCCAGTAGGACAGTGTTTAATCTACTGCAGCTTTATCAGTCTTGAAATTAAATGGTATGAGTTCTCTGACTTTGTTGTTCTTTACCAAAATTGTTTCATATTTTCATATAAATTAGAGTTGGCTTGTCACTCTATCCCGTAAAAAGGTTTACTGGAATCTTGATTGAGATTACCCTGAATCTATAGTTTAATTTGAGGAGAACTGGTATCTTTAACATATTGAGTCTCAGTTCAGATCCGTGAGCACTCTATGATCTCTGCAATTATTTAGGTTTCCATTTGTTTGGTATTTAGAAAATTTATCTCACCCATGTTTTGTAATTTACTATATCAACAGACTAAAAGAAGAAAAAAATCGTTTGATCACCTCAATGAATTCAGAAAAGAATAATTGACAAAATTGAATGTTAATTCATGAATTAAAAAAAGACTTCATAAATTATAATAAAAGTGTACAGGTCCTGTACATGTTTTGTCAAATTCATCTCTTTAGTATTGCTTTCTCTTTTTTTTTCTTTTGCTGAGGAAGATCCACCCTGAGCTAACATCTATTGCCAATCTTCCTCTTTTTGCTGAGGAAGATCCACCCTGAGCTAACATCTGTTGCCAATCTTCCTTTTTTTATGTGAGCCACAGTGACAACATGTCACTGACAAAAGAGTGGTGTAGGTCCATGCCCAGCAACCGAACCTGGGCCACCGAAGCAGAGCACACCAAACTTAACCACTAGGCCACTGGGGCTGGCCCAACTATATCATATTTTTGATGCTTTTAAAATGGTATTCTTTTTTTAAATTTCGGTTTCCAATTATTTATTGCTGATACATACAAATACAGTTAATATTTTTATATTAATCCTGTATCTAGTGAGCATGATAAACCCCTTTATTCTAGTAGCTTTTTTGTAGATTATGTAGGATTTTCTACACAGGTAGTCATGTCATCTGACATCAAAGGCAGTTTTTCTTATTCCTTTCCATCTGGATGCTTTTTTTATCTTTTTCTTGATTTATTGTACTGTCCTAGAACATTTAGTAATATATGGAATAAAAGTGGTGAGAATGGACACTTTTGCCTTGTTCCTGATCTTAGTAGATAGCACTTGCTCTTTCACCATTAAGTGTCATGTTAGCAGTAGGTTTTTCATATATGCCCTTGGTTAAGTTGAGGAAATTACCTTTTGTTACAATTTATGAAGTCGTCTTTTTTTTTAAATCATGAATTAACTTTGAATTTTGTCACTCATTCTTTCTGAGTTCATTGAGATCAAATTTTTTTTTAGTCTGTTGATGTAGTAAATTCATTGATCTTTTAATATTGATTTTAACTGTTTACTATGCATTCCTAGAATAAGTCCCACTTTGCCATAATGTATTAATCTTTTTTATTTATTGATGGATTTTTATTAAGATTTTTGCATCTGTGTTTATGAGATATATTGGTCTGTGGTTTTCTTTTCTTGTGACATTTTTGTCTGGCTTTGATATCATGGTGATATCAGCCTCAAAGAATGAGTTGAGAAGTATTCTGTCCTCTTCAGAAGAGTTTGTATAGATTCAGTATTAATAATTTTTTAAACATTTGTTAGAATTCACAAGTGAAATCATCAGGGCCTAGAGTTTTCTTTGTGGGAAAATTTTTTACTACAAATTCAATTTCTTTATGGTTAGTCAGGTTTTCTATTTTTCTCTGAATGAGATTTGGTAGGTTGTATCTTTCAAAGAGTTTGTTCATCTCATCTAATTTGTCAAATTTATTGACATAAAATTGTTCAAAGCATTCCCCCATTATTGTATTAATGTTTTTAGTAATGTCACCTTTCTCGTTCCTCATGTTGGTGATTTGTGTCCTTTTTTCTCCTGTAATTAGTCTGGGTAATTTTGTCGAAATTCTCAAAGAATGAGCTTTGTGTTTCATTGATTCTCCCGTTTTCTTTTTGTTTTTCTATTATACTGATTTAAGTTTTTAATCATTTTTTCCTTCAGTTTATGTTCGGTTTTATTTGCTCTTTTTCTAGTTTCTTAGGGTGGAAGCTGAGGACATTAATTTGAGAGCTTTCTTTTTTCTAAAATAGGCGTTTAGTGCTATAAATTCTCATCTGAGTGCTTTTGCTTCATCCCAGAAATTTTGATTATATTTTATTTTCAGACAGTTCATAATAATTTCTTATTTCCCTTTTGATTGCTTCTTTGACCCAATGATTATTTAGAAGTGTGTTTTTAGTGAGGGGGTGGAGCAAAATGGTGGGGTGAGCTGACCCGGGATTCTCTCCCCTCCAAAATACAACAAAGGATTGGAAAAACTGAATTTCAGAGAATAAACATAATGCCAACATGTTAGAGACCTACAATACCAAGAAGGCGGAGATCATAAACCCTACTTACAGCCTCGGTGGCGCTGGAACGGTGGGAGAGAACATCGCATCCTCCTCTAGAGTCTGCGATTGCTGCGTGGGTCAGGAGGGAGTGGGGGAGGGGCTGCGCGACCGGGGATCATCCAGGGCTCCTGCCCTGGTTCAGTGGAGACCCGCTGACGGGGGGAAAGCTTCCGTCCGCGGGGACCCCATAAACCAAGGGCCTCGGGAGACCAGAGAACAGAACTGATCTGAACACAGACGGCGCGTGTGAGTAACAGCCCCTCCCTCCTGGCAAAGCCAGTGGGCGCAGCCATCTTGCCCGAAGGCGGAGAGCTCACAACGCGTGGCTCTCGACCCCCATCTAGTGGCGACAGGTTGTAACTGCAACCGAATGCTACCACCATGCGAAAAAAACCGCTCCTCTACCATCCAGCAATTTATAAAAGCCCCAGACCAGAAGGAAAACAATAAAAACATAGAAATAAGTCCTGAGGACTTGGAATTAGGTAAACTAAGTGATAATGAGTTCAGAGCAGCTATAATCAAAAAACTCAAAGAGGTAGAGAGAAAGATAGAGAAACAAGCCGAGTTCTGGAGTTCCTTCACAAAAGAGATTGAAATCATAAACAAGAATCAAACAGAATTACTTGAGATGAAAAACACAATGGACTAGATAAAACAGAATACGGATTCCCTGAATGCCCGTGTAGACACCATAGAAGAGCAAATTAACATAATTGAAGATAGACAGGCTGAATGGCTCCAGACAGAGGAAGAAAGAGAACTAAGAATTAAAAAAAAATGAGGAAAATCTCCAAGAGATAATGGATTCAATGAGGAGTAAGAACATAAGGATCATAGGAATTCCTGAGAATGTGGAAAAGGAAAATGGAGCAGACAGTGTGCTTAACAAAATTATTGAAGAGAACTTCCCAAATCTAGGGATCGACAGAGAAATGTGTGTGGAGGATGGTTTTAGATCTCCTAGATTTGTCAGTGTAAGAAGACATACTGCAAGGCACATAGTAGTAAAATTGGCAAAAAGGAAGGATAAGGAAAGAATACTCAGGGGAATAAGAAAAACAAAGAGAATAACCTATAAAGGAGCCGCTATCAGACTGTCAGCGGATTTCTCTACAGAAACCTTACAAGCTAGGAGAGAATGGAGTGACATATTCAAAGCTTTAAAGGATAAAAATCTTCAGCCAAGAATACTCTATCCAGCAAGAATTTCCTTCAGATATGAGGGAGAAATTAAATCTTTTCCAGACAAACAAAAGTTAAGGGAATTTGTAACTAGAAGCCCTCCATTACAAGAAATCCTCAAGAAGGCTCTCATACTTGAAAAAAGAAAAAAGGGAGAAAGGGGACACAATCCACAGACTAGGGAGACTGATGGATAGAACCAGAACAGGATAGCAAATATTCAACTATAGCATTTGCAACATATAGTATTTGCAAGTCATATATCTGACAAAGGCTTAATATCCTTAATATATAAAGAACTCTCGCAACTCAACCACAAAACATCAAACAACCCAATCAAAAAATGGGCTGGAGACATGAACAGACATTGCTGCAAAGAAGATGTACAGATGGCCAACAGGCACATGAAAAGATGCTCAGCATCGCTGATCATTAGGGAAATGCAAATCAAAACTACACTAAGATGTAACCTTACACCCGTTAGAATGACAAAAGTGTCTAAAACTAAGAGCAACAAATGTTGGAAAGGTTGCGGAGAAAAAGGAACCCTCATACACTGTTGGTGGGAATGCAAACTGGTTCAGCCACGATGGAAAACAGTACGGAGATTTCTCAAAAAATTAAAAATAGAACTAGCATACGATCCAGCCATCCCACTACTGGGTATTTATCCAAAGAGCTTGAAGTCAGCAATCCCAAAAGTCCTATGCACCCCAATGTTTATTGCAGCACTGTTTACAATAGCCAAGACGTGGAAGCAACCTAAGTGTCCATCAACAGACGAATGGATAAAGAAGATGTGGTACATATATACAATGGAATACTACTCAGCTGTAAAACAGAACAAAAACATTCCATTTGCAATCTCATGGATGGACCTTGAGGGAATTATGTTAAGTGAAATAAGCCAGCGAGAGAAGGTTAATCTGTGTATGACTCCACTCATATGAGGAATTTGAAATTATGGACCAAGAACAGTTTAGTGGATACCAGGGGAAATGTGGGGTGGGGGGTGGGCACAAAGGGTGAAGTGGTGCACCTACAACATGACTGACAAACATTAATGTACAACTGACATTTCACAAGATTGTAACCTATCATTAACTCAATAAAAAAAAAAAGTGTGTTTTTAGTATCCAAATATTTGGAAAATTTTCCAAAAATCTTTCTATTATGAATTTTTAGTTTAATTTCATTGTTAGATCATATCTAGTGTAATATCAGTATGGTCACATTGAAATCTACATTCTTGATTTTTCTTTCCTATTTGTCCTACCTTTTCCCTGTTCCTGTTTTCCTCTTTTCCCACTTTCTTGAATTAATTGCATATTTAAAAAAATAAACCCATTTTATTTACACTATTGGCTTATTACTTACATCTTTTCATTTTTTCATGGTTGCTCTAGGATTTATAATATACATCCTTAACTTATTACTGATTCAGATTTAGAAAAAGCTAATGGAAACTCTTGACATCAGGAGAATGGAACACTAGCTAATGTGTTCTAGAAACAAAAGGACACTAGACAAAGTCTAGAGTTTATTGTAATTTCCTATAACCACAGTCTTCTTTGATCCTCAAATACCTCAACCACACTCCTGCCTCAGGGCCTTTGTACTTATGAGGCCCTCTGCCTGGAACATTCTTTTGCTAGATAATGACATGGCTTATCTCTTGCCTTCTTACTTTGTTGCTAAGCTGTTAACCAGATCAGAGAGATCTTTCCATAGTATAATACGTAAAAGAACCATCCCTGCTCTTCCTTCTGTACTCTTACTTTGATGTATTTTTTTCTTCTTGGTACTTATCACTTATCAGTCACTTAAGTTATATATTTGTTGCTCTGGATTGCCCTCTTTGTTCTGTTCACCTTTACGTGCCTGACTCCTTCAACAGTGCCTGGTAATCAATAACTGATCAATAAATATTTGTTTAATGAGTGATATTCATTTGTGTCTGTGTTTGTGTAGTCTCCTTAGAAAAGAGACCTAATCCACTTGATTAATGAAAACTTACCAAATTGCCTTAAATATGAAATTGAAATACATTTCTCAAAACACTTTCTTATATTTTTGAATTTAACAATGAAATGTTACAAAGAACTTAGTACCTGTTGTATATTTCCCTTTCAAAGACTTTCTGCTAGGCTTTTTTGCTGTTGACTTCTGAATATGTATTCTAGACCAATATGTAAATTTCACTATCATTTAGAAATACAACTATTTATGTGATGAAAGACTAAGCAATTAACTTGAATTATTTTGTTCTAGTTCCAAAAATTGAGACATGATCTTGAATTGGTACTCTCCACTATTCAGTCAAAGAATGAAAAGTTAAAGGAAGACCTGGAAAGGTATATTTATGTTATAATTACCATTAATCATTGATATATGTTGAATTGGCATTAATGTTTTATTTGGCTATTGTTTGTTTTGTTGTCCATATTTAAAGGGAGCAACAATGGTTGAAAGAACAGCAACAGCTCCTGGAATCTCTTAATGTACTACACAAGGAATTGAAACAGCAGGTTGTGACAGTTTCTGAATCAAGGTATTAATTTTGTATTCTAGCTATTTAAAATAGGAGAAAATATTTTCTTTTTTATGTTACATGTAATATGTAGATGAAAAGAAGGTAAATTACACCAGAAATCGTGAGTCTTACTCTACCTTTTGCCAACTATCAGTTACATGATCTTTTATGAATAACTTAACCTGGTTGTACCTTTAGTTTCCCTACATGTTAAGTAGAGTGTGTTACTTTCATAAAGCTAGTTATTTGGTTTGAACAAATGAAGTTTGAACAAAGTTTTTGATCAACTTTATATGTAATCAGTTATATATTCTTATGTATTTTATCACTGAAATATTTCTCTTATTGTTTTTTAAATCTATTAGAATCTTTAATGAACTAAAAACTAAAATGCATGATATAAAAGAATATAAGGAGAAACTCTTGATTACCTTGGGTGAGTTTCTAGAAGACCATTTTCCTCTGCCTGATAGAAATGTTAAAAAGAAAAAGGTAAGTTTTAGAGAAGACATTCATGTAGATATTCATATCTGAAATTGTTTCAGATAGGTGCAAATGTAAATTTTCTGATAAACTTTTTTATGTTTTATTATGCATTTCAAAGATACACACAGAGATACATGTACAGAAATATTCCATCACATTATAATATTTATTGAAAAATTAGAAGCAACCTAGTTGTTCAATAAAATAGGATTAAATACATTTTTTATATTTTATCCATATGATTGGGAAAAACATGCAGATTTAAAAAATAATGTATTGAATATTATTGAAGGAGTTAATGAAATGCTCACAATTTATTGTTAAGTGGATAAAACACAGATGATTTAATTGTATGAGTCTAATTTGTACCAAAAAATGTAACAGTTCTTATGTGTGGAGGCAAAGATTATATGTCAGATTTGCTTTTGTTTTCACTATTTTCCAAATTTTCCATGATGAACATATGTAACTTTTAAAATTGGAAGAATGTTGTTTAAAATCTGTTAGTTAATGTAAGTTATTGGCTATTTTAATAGTAGTTATGATGGAATAAACCTTTTCCACAAAAGCAATAAATATTTCATTGGATGACAGAAGATTGGGAGCAACTACTTTGATTCCTGTTTTTAAAAAAGTATATAGTTTAAATATAGAGAACTTGTGGAAATGGAATAGGCATTGAAACTGGCACCGGAATGATCTTTCTAAAAAAATATAGTTTAATCATTTTTAAACAAAACTTTTGATAGCTCCCTGTAGGATGAAGTTTATATTCTGGACTTTGTTTCTTTAGCCTCCTTTTCAACCTTCTTTACCCACTGCTTGCATGAATTCATTCAGTCTTGCTATTGTAGTTCCAGCAAATACGCAATGACATGTCACTTTTTTGTGCCTTATACTTTCTATTCCCTTACAAGACACTTCCTATCTGTGAGGATAACAAATTCCTACTTAAGGCAACTGAAACGTCATCTGTTTTTTAAAAAAATTATTTATTTATTTTTTTGAGGAAGATTAGCTGTGAGCTAATTGCTGCCAATCCTCCTCTTTTTGCTGAGGAAGACTGGCCCTGAGCTAACATCCAGGCCCATCTTCCTCTACTTTATATGTGGGATGCCTACCACAGCATGGCTTGCCAAGCAGTGCCATGTCTGCACCCAGGATCCACATCAGTGAATCCTGGGCTGCCGAAGCGAAACGTGTGCACTTAATGGCTGCACCACTGGGCCAGCCCATCAAACATCGTCTTTTGTGTGAAGCATGGAATGAAGTTTACGTGTTATTTTATTAGCATTTGTCATCTCATTTTGTGATGATCATTATGTCTGACTCCCTGTTTGCCCACCATGCACTGTGAACTCTTTGATGTGTTTAACTCATCTCTGTATCTCTACTATCTTGCATATCTATTATAGTACCTTTCTGAGTTCATGTTTATTGAATGACTGTGAATATATTAGGAAAAGGAGAAAAAGTTTTCTTAGAATGTGTGGTTTTTTTTATTCTTCCCTTTCTTCTTTGTAACTTTCAGTAGGCTTTACATTTATTATGGACTATGTCAGCCATTCTCTCTGTTATTTATACCCCGTATTCATTTCTGAAATTGTTGACAGCCTGCCGTTAATCATTTCATTAAGTTCATGATTGCTTGATGCTTAATGATCATATTCCTACAGTAACTCACTGACTGACTTTTTGATCCTAATCTCTCTTTTTTTCAAAAATTTTTTTAACCTATTAAGTTTCTCCACAATAGAACCAGAAGTTTGAGGCGTTCTGAAAAGGAAGCATTGATCACTGGAAGCCATTAAGCTAGCTCTTTTTTTAATGAAGTATACGAACTATTAATACATGTTACAAAATAATCGATTGCTTTCTCTCTCACGCACTAATACTGGATGTATACTCGGCTGAAGCTGCCATAACAAAATATCATAGACTCTCAGTGGCTTAAACAAAAGAAATTTATTTTTTCACAGTTCTGGAGGCTAGAAGTCCAAGATCAAGGTGCCATTAGGGGTTGGTTTCTGCTGAGGCCTTTCTTCCTTTCTGTGGCTGCTGCCTTCTCGCTGTGTCCTCACATGGCTTTTACTCTGTGTGAGTGTAGAGTCCTTATCATAAGTCCTTATTATAAGGACACCAGTTCAATTGGATTAGGGTCCCACCCTCATGACTGTATTTAACCTTAATTATCTCTTTGAAGGCTCTATCTCTAAATATTGTCACATTATGGATTAGGACTTCAACATATGAATTTTGTGAGGCACAGTTCAGTTCATAACACTGGACTTTATTATTCAAAGATGTGTACAAAGGAGAAAGAAACAACCAAAATCCCTCTACCAGATCATTATTATTAGATGAATGTCATATGAAACATCTTCCTGAATACGTATATGTATAGAAACATGAATGGATGGGTGGATCAATGTAGTTTTGTACAAGCTAATATAAAATAAGTATTATATGTAATTTTACTTAAATTTGATAGAAGAAAAATAAGTGAGGATGAATTGTTGAACTGAGATAAATATTTCTTTGCTTCAAGTGATTTTAGTTCTGGAGAGATCCCTAATGTAAAGAAAACAAATTATGAAAAACATTATTAAAGATTATAATAGTTTGCTTAATTTCATCTTTTAATTTTGAGTAGTATTAATAGACTTCCTGCTATGAAAGGTGAGGAAATTAACATTCTCCCTCCTATACCCTCATTTATATTCTATCCTGATACCATCATTCGTGTATATGTTTAGTCTTTATTCTACATTGTATTGGATTCAATGCTTGTCATCTTGTACTATTCATTTTTGAGTTCTCAAGTTTAATCCATCATTTGATTTGATGGGTTTCTTTGACAAGTAATTTATTGAAGAAGAATTCCTGGGTGTCTTATTTTTTGAATTCTTGAATTCAAAATACTTGAATTCTTGAATACTGAAAATACTTTATTTGCCTTTATACTCAAAGGATATCTTTGGCACATTTTTTTAAAATCTCAAGGCTTGGTAGGGATTGCTCCCTTCTTCTGAGATGGATTGTGCTGTGGAGAAGTCTGAAGCCAGCCCGTAGATGTCTGGCTGCCTCTGACTGTAGGCCTGAGGAGTTCTTTATCTTTGAACTTCAGAAATGTAACAGGGATATATCATGATGTTGATCATTCAGTATCAGTTTTGCTTTGAAGATATATTATTTCCAGGGGCAGATTTAGGTCGCATTTCATTTTACAGACATTTTATTTTATGTATCTTACATTGTTTATCATATCCTTATGTTGAAACTTTTTTTTCTTTACTTGCTTTCATTATATTTTTCTTCTGCATTTTCTTTGATTGTCTCAAACCTTTAATTTTAATCTGTGCTTTGCTGCTGCTTATTTGTCAATTTTATAATTGGGTTTTCTTTCATCACTGGTAAATCATATGCTGCATTTTACTACTCTTCCACTTAGTAAGATAGTAGAGGTCAGGATATTTTGAGATCCAGCTGTACTATCTTTACTCAGGAATCACATTTTTTTGTGTGTTTATGAGGAAGATTGGCCCTGAGCTAACATCTGTTGCCAATTGTCCTCTTTTTGCTTGAGGAAGATTGTCTCTGAGCTAACATCTGTGGCAGTCTTCTTCTGTTTTGTATGTGGGTTGCTACCACGGCATGGCTTGATGAGTGGTGGAGGTCCATGCCTGGGATCCAAACCCACAAACCCCAGGCAGCTGAAGCAGAGTGCACAAACCCAACCACTACGCTGCCAGGCCAGCCCAGAAATCACGTTTATTTTTGTCAGGGTTATTTTACTATTTCTCTAATATATTTGTATTTCTTTAAGACTTTATAAGAACTTCATGGTAATCTTTGACCAGTTTCAGGAAAGTTCTGTCACTATAACAGGTGACTTTGCAATTAGTAGAATGTCTGAACTCAAAAGCTGCTGATTAGGATTAGTATTATTTTGGAAGGAGATTTCTACCAGTTATCGTTAGAGCCTTGTCCTATTGAACACGTTTTCTTTTTTTTTTAAGATTGGCACCTGAGCGAACATCTGTTGCTAATCTTCTTTTTTTCTTCTTCTCCCCAAAGATCCCCCAGTATATAGTTGTGTATTCTAGTTGTAGGTCCTTCTAGCTCTGCTATATGGGAGACTGCCTCAGCATGGCTTGATGAGTGGTGCTAGGTTTGTGCCCAGGATCTGAAGCAGCGAAACCCTGGGCTGCTGAAGTGGAGTGTGCAAACTTAACCCCGTGGCCACAGGGTGGCCACCTATTGAACATTTTTAACAGTAATTTGGATAAAGAGGTATAAGACATGATTGTCAAAATTTGCAAATGATATGAAATTAAGAAGGCTAGATAGTAAATATATTGGATGACAGAATTAGGACTATATTTTTTAGCAGGCTACGAACTAGGCCAAATGAAATAGGATGATATTTAGTGAAGGTACATAGAATATCTTTCTTGGATTTAAAACATTAAAGAATGAAGGTGACAGGGTTGGCCTGGTGGCCTAGTGGTTTAGTTTGCTTGTTCTGCTTCCATGGCCCAGGGTTTGTGGGTTCAGAACCCCGGGTGCAGACCTACACACTGCTCATCAAGCTATGCTGTGGCAGCATCCCACATACAAAATAGAGGAGTATTGGCACAGATGTTAGCTCAGTGACAATCTTCCTCAAACACAAAGAGGAAGATTGGCAACAGATGTTAGCCCAAGGCCAATCTTCCTCACCAAAAAAAAAAAAAAAAGATGGAGGAGACATAACTTAGGTAGATGTATGAAAGAGACTTTGGCATTTTAGACGATAGTATGTTCAGATAGATGTCAGTAAGATGAAATAGATGTCCAAGAGCTAATGCAATCTTAAACTTAATAAATAGAATTCTGTCATCTACAAGTATGGAAGTGAGTCTTCCTTTTCATCTTTGGTGTTCGAATCACACCGAGATCATTGTGGAGACTGCATTATAAAAAAAAAAATAGACAAATTAGAGCACATTCAGAGATCAACCATCATATTGAGGGGCCACAAGTCTATGGCTTATGAAGAATAATTGAAGGAACTGATCATGATTAACATGGAGAAGACTTGAGGCTCATAATAGCTGTCTTCAAATATTGGAGGAACTCTTGGATGGAATTGGAATAAGATTTATTCTCTGTCATTCCAAGGAAAAAAGAACCAGTGAGGTGAGTTAACATGAACCATCAAGAACTATTCAAAGATAAACAGGGCTCCCTGGGATGCAAGTTTTCCTGTCCTGAAGCTGTATAAATACAGTTTGGAATGTCATTTGTTTGGGATATTTTGGTTGAGGAGTTCAAACAATAGGTTTTTTAAATATGAGTATATACAATATATTTAATATAATTTATCTATTTTATATTTACAGGTAGTTTGAATTGTATCTTCTAGTAATTACAAAAGATTTCACTGTCTTAAAGGTTGTTTCAACTGCATTTTTATGAACCTGACTGTTTAGTACAAGCAGGTTGTTTACTTTCAGAATTCTTTTAAAACCATCTAATTATCAATGTTTGGTTTTAGTGTACCTTGTACCATAACAATTAAATATTTTTTAAATTTTGTAAATAATGCATCCTACTGTTCTGCCACTTGCAGAACTGAAATGTTAATTGTTTGTTATTCACATTTCTCTCAAAGAAAAACGTTCAAGAATCCACTGCACAGCTGATAACACTGCATGAAATGTTAGAGGTAAGTGTTTTGTGTAGTTGTTTTGTCTTGAAGCTGTCTCTTAGTTAGTGATTTGTGAACAATTATACACAGTCTTAAAAAGGAACTGCTTTAGTTCTTAAAGTATACACCAATCTTTGTTAAATATATTTATATTAATTTATCTTTAGTATAAAATTAGATTCTGTTTTCTATACAGTACTAGAAAGAATATTGTAATTTTTTAAAAGAACATGAAATTAGAGTCTTAACCCTTAATCATGTTCCCAAGATTATTACTTTAAGGAAATTTTTGTGATGTTATTTAGAATTTACACAGTGAAATCCTATGCTTTTACATTGATAGAATCTTTAGTTGGTAACTCTCAATTCTATCTAAAATACATAAGTGAGGTTAGCGATTCTTTTCATAAAGTTGCAGAAATTTGTGCAAAGTTTTCCTTAATGCATCAGCCTCTTTTTCACAATGTAAAGACTGGGTAATTTCAACTTTTTTCTGCTTGATATTTACTTTTTTTAAAAAATATCTTTGACCTTTTTAAAAAATGTTTTTGAACTTCAGTCAGTTATCAAATATATTAAATATTTTAGAAGATCTTGATAGACACTGCATTGCTAATTAAGTGAAGAAGAAGGTAAAATAGTCTATGAAGAGCAGGATGTTTAACAATATGTGCCTTTTAAACATCACTGATGAGTTGAAAGAGTGATTTCAGAAAACTTGTGGCATTGTAATTTTATGAATTAGATGCTAAATTGTCTATTTTTATTCAGCTAAGTAGTTTTGTTGTCTCAGGATATCTTAATATGGAATATTATTGCTTTGAAAAGCAAAATACAAATATTTATTAGATTAGTAATTAGAACAGATGAGTGATTAGATTAGATTAGATTAGTGATTAGAATCTTTTAACATATTTCTAGTTACTCCAAGTTATGCTGAAACTAAGAAACTACTACTTCTTAAGGATGAGTTAACTTTTCGTAAATAAAAGTTGTCATATATGTGGCAAATATTGACAAGTTTTAACTGGGAAATACATGTGTAGCTTTTGAATAGTATACTGTGAGGTACCATATGAAACTTAGAATTAGAAATCGTTTTTGTCTCCAAGGCTAGTATTATCAATGATAAAAGTAACCAATATTAAACTCCAATTCAGTGAAAAATAAAACAATATATGTGTTTATTTTGAAGTTGAACTTTTAGCATTTTATTATTTCTAGATCTACTAGAATTTTGATTAATATAATTGAAATTAGAAATGGAAGGTAAGAAAGATCTGAAATTGTATTAAAATAAGCAGTTGCTTTAAAGTAGGAATAATATTTAATTTTTTAATTATCATACCTAATATAAATGAGAGCAAAAACTTTTTTACCCAGGATGTGGTACTTGAAATAGCTAAGTTAATGGTAGGTAAAAATTTCATTTCAAGTATTGAGATATTGATATTATTATGAAACGTGATTGAAATGAGAGCTTCATAGTTTAATTTTATTTCTATGATACTTTATTTTGTATAAATTATGCTTTTTTTCTTTTCCTCATTCCTTAAAATTATATCTTTTAATTGAAGCTTTGGCCTGGCAATTCAGAGATATGGAGTGTAATCCATGATCTGCTGCTTATTACGTGCCCCTTGGGGAAATTCTTAACCCTTCCGAGTTCTGATTTTTAATTTGTGAAGGTGCTGTGTGGTAGCGGAGGAGGCAGAGTAATAGATATTTAGCATTTTTGAGTATGTTTGATAGGACGTAAGTGTTCAAAGAATTGTAAATATGTGTTTCTTGACAAAACTTTCCCAATGCCAATGGATTTGGGAAAGACAGGATTCTCAGTGCACGTTAGCATTCTTTCCCCCAGCTTATTTGACCATAGAAACTCTGTTTTTCAAAACTAAGAACATCCTTAGGGAGACCAATTCCATTGAAAGCAGTTTAGGAAATGTTAGATTATATAATTTACTACAAATGCTCAAAACTTTATAATTTGTGATTGTAACTCCTCAACATCCTTAGTGAAGAAATCAGAGATATTCCAGATGAAGTTGAAGGAAATGATGATGATAGAAATATTGTTTTGAAGATTTATCAGAAGACTAGGTGTCTTTTTTGGGGGATTGGGTTGGTGATTCCTTTTTCCCTCAAATATTAATACACGCATACTAACTGTTTTTTGAACTTTGTGCATATTTTGTTGAGTATTAAATTTGTTTGTTTCTTATTTTTATTTTTAAGAAATAATTATAACCAAACATCTAATCTAAGGAAATTATTAATCCTGAGAAGTGGGAGAATTGTAAATGCCTTTTAAAAAGTTTTTAGAAAATGTTTTCAATTATTAAAAGAGGGAATGTTCCTTCTTTGGTGAAAAACATTATTAATGTCTTATTATAGTTGTATCAATTTTTTCCCAAGTAAGGTATATTTTGAATGCTATTTTTTCCTAGATTCTTTTAAATAGATTATTTGATGTTCCACATGATCCATATGTCAAAATTAGTGATTCTTTTTGGCCACCATATATTGAGCTGCTCCTGCGTAATGGAATTGCCTTGAGACATCCAGAAGATCCAACCCGAATAAGATTAGAAGCCTACCATCAGTAAAAGGATGGTCTCTTTTTCACACAGTACTCGAAAGAATTTTGTCATTCAAGGATAATGGAAACATTGAGGATTACTTGGATAAAGAATATTATTTGCAAATCAAAGCACATAGTCCATCTTTCTTTTATCCTTAAAATGACACATGCTGTCATCTCCTATTCATTTAAAAATGGTCCTTTCACATTCAGGAAGTGCTTTGGTGTTTTAAACTAGATGGACAAGAATGCAAGTAAAAAATATTCTAGACTTAATCATTATAAAACATTTAATGTATCTTACTTTTGCAATATTCTTTGGAAAATTCTTTGCTAATTTATGATATTACTAATGTAATATTTTCCTTTTAAAATTTATGACAGTTTCCATTTTGCATTTTGAGTTGTAGTTGATGCTTCACCTCCTTTAAATTTAGGAATTATAATGGAAAGCCCTTTAATTTGCAGATGGCTTTAAAATTGACTTAGTATCTGATGTAGAAGGAAGTGTAATTTAAAAGTGTTTAGTAAATTTGTTCCATGTATACTGTCTTATTTCTAGATTTGCTAAAAATTGGAATATAAAAAACTAATGGATAAAGATAGCATGAAAACTATATTTTAATGTATATTATATAACAAGTGATATTATATATTAACCCACTCTTGACTTTGTTAATCATTACTAACAAAATTGTGTTCATAAAATTTTGTTTATCCACTGTGACTTTTCTGTAAATAAAATTCTGTCATCTAAAAATCTCTAGCTGTTTTGGTGATGTGGCATGATATTTTAATAAGTTAAATAGGCTTTTTGTAGGTAGATAAATGAAAATATTATAGGACTTATTCAGGCTTACATACAAGCTACACTAGAGAATTCCAAACCAATTTAGTATCATTAGTTTTTTAAGAGGACTTAGTGTGTACTTTTACATTTGAAAATGCTTTTTAGTATATATCATTCAAGTTTCTTGCTTAAATACTTCATCTTTTTTAAAGTAAGCAAATAATATTCCAAGTATACTTTGTCCCTTCTATAGGAAATACAAATACTGTTATATTTTAGTGAATGTAAGTTCTTTTATGGGAAGATGACATATAAAGTACCTTCCTAGAATACTCTAGTTGGGAGTCAAAGAATGAGCAACTTTTATTCCTTGAAGTTACTGGAGAAGGGAGAAATGGTTCTGGCAGTATAAGTCTGACGGTAATTCTACAGATCAGGCAGAGCTGTTGTCGGGGACTTCCCTGTGTTGCGAATTACAGAAAGAAATAAATAAAAGCAAAAAACAACTTGATGATTTATTTGGCAAGTATTCATTTTGCATTTTACTGAAGAATCTACTGGTTAGGATCATTTTACTACAGTGTCTTTTATAAGGCTCTAAAGAAAACTATGATGATTGCATCCTACTTTAATTCATTAACCCAGGCTTCTTACATAACAAGATTATTTGCCTACTTTTGATCTCAATCATAAACAAAGTAAATTATAGTGGAATTAGTCTTGATTTGTACTCCATCTAAGCTTACAGCCCTTAAAGCTTTTTGTGGTTTTGAGTATGTTGGAGAAAATGTTTCAGGTTCTGAAGACCTGTATGTATTTTCACTCTTCATTGATTTAAGAAAATCGCTGAAATCTATTAAAACTTAGAATTTGTTTTTATTTCACCAGGTCTTAAATATGATAATGCAAAATATCTGAAAGTAATACCACATTCTAGCTTTCCCACACCAGATGGTGATGTTAGCCTAACTTAGAAACAAAAATTTGTTTTGGTCTACCACAAAATATATTTAACTTTGTGATTGGTTGATATGTATGCATGGATCGATTTGGGAGAAATTAAATCTCTATTTGGTTCAAAATTCAACCCAGTTGAATATGACCTTCTTGAGTCTTATTCTGTATTTTATATGGTTGTACATCTATATTAACATTTTTGACTCCCTTATTTTCCTTAGTTTACTTTGTTGTTCATTTAGCTAACTTTTAGTTTAATTCTTTTTGCTTTTACCAAGAATTATATTTTTCAATTCTATGCAATATCTTACCTCACTTTATTTTCTGATATTTACTAGTAAGTGATTAATAATAATAACTGAAATAAGAATGGTGAATGAGATGTCCTGTTGCCCTTTTGGTATTTTCTAATCAAAACATTAAAAATATGTAATCTTTATGCTTATGATGCCTACTGATAGACTGTATTTTTTCTAAAGTTTTTGTGGGTCTGTCAATATGCCACCACTTGCTAAATGCAGCATCCCAATACTTTATTGTTAACCTTTTATGACATGTGGACTCAGAAGCATCAATTAGTAAAGTGAAAAATTGCATACTATTACCTTATTTTTAATATTTTTCTTCATTTGTTCTTTGTCTTCTACCTTGTGTGGATTGAATATCCCTTTTTATGGCATTCAGAGATTTTAATTTTTATCTGATTTTCAATTATACAAAAAAATGAATACATTCGTTTTTGAAAAATTATTACAGATATTACAGATAAATCTACGTTTCCTTTGACCACATTTGGAATTTGGGTTCCCCATACCAATGAGGTAGCCACTGTTTGATACATGCTATTAATTTTCAGCTTACATTATCATCTTTTCCTACCATTTAACTGTGTCAAGAATATAATAAAATCCATGTTAATGAATCTTCTTTTGTAGTAATCACAGAGCCAATTCACATCACAGTGGGTTATTACATATCTGTTCACTATCCCCATATAAAATTTCTGCGTTACAGTGTTTAATGTTAATACAAGTCTTTAGTATAAAAATATAATTTGATTTGTTCAACTGTATTAATTTTGTTGAAAGATAATTATGGTTAATATAATTTTAAAATAGTTTTTTAACTTTTCTGAGTAATAAATGATTCTTTTGAACCCCAGAAGTGCTCTATTCTTTTAAACAATATAAGAAGCAATATTTGCCAGCCATTTTGATAGATACATGAGGCATGTAGGAATCTGGGCAAGGGAAGTAGCAGGAATATGTGATGTAATTATGGATAATTCAAATGGGCTAGACTTACTAACATAATCTGATGGGAGGAAAATGCTTACATTCTCTTGAATGCTTTGGTTAGTCTGCTGTAATATATTTGTCTGTTTGGTCATTATAACTTGCTGAAAGTACTGAATTTGCTTCTAGTTGGTAGCTAATTTAGGGTACCTGTTACAAAGAAGGAGAGAGAAGAATCTTGAGTCTCAGTAATTTCATTTTTTGTATTTTGCCATTCCTATTATTTGTTAAAAGATATACCTAAAAAGTTAGGTCTCTGTAGCCTCTTTTAATTGTACTGTGAGAGTAAAATAAAATCTTTTATTTTTCTTATTTGTAATCTATCATAACAGTTTATTCCATAATATCAACAGTGTATTCTGTGATTATATGTTATGGATAAGTAAAGTGATTGACAACCCTGTTAATTTACCTTCATTTATTCCTTCTCTAACACTCTTCCTTTCTTTTTGTAGATCCAAGTTTCTAACCCACATCATTTTCTTCACTCTGAAGAATTTTTTTTAACATTTCTTGCAAGGCAAGGCAACTAACAACAAAATCCCTCAATTTTTGTTTGTCTGTGAAAGTCTTTTTTTCCCCTTCCCTCTTGAAGGATAATTTCACTGGTTACAGAATTCTAAGTTGGTGGTTTTTAATCTTTAAAACACTAAATATTTCACTCGACTCTTTTCTTGTTTTCATGATTTCTAAAGAGAAGTCTAATGTAATTCTTATCCTTATTCCTCCATTTCAAGATTTTTATTCCTCTGGCTTCTTTCAATACTTTGTTTTTGTTTTTCTGGAATTTGAATATGATATGCTTCTGTGTAGATTTTTTTGACATTTATCCTGCTTGGTGTTTTCTGAGCTTCCTGGATTTGTGACTTGGTATCTGTCATTATCATTATTACTTCAAATATTTCGTGTCCCTTTCTTCTCCTTCTGATAGTCCCATGATGTGTATGTTAAACCTTTTGTAATCATCTAATAGTTCTTAGCTATTCTGTCTGGTCTTTGTCACTCTTTTTTTCTGTCTGCATTTCAGTTTTGGAAGTTTCTATTGACACATTTTCAAGCACACTGATTCTTTCCTCAGCTGTGCCCACTCTCTTGGTGAGCCAATCAAAAGCATTCTTCATTTCTGTTACATTGTTTTTAATTTTTAGCACTTCCTTTTGATTCTTTCTTAGAGTCTTTATCTCTGCTTATATTACTATTTATTTTTTCACCTTATTTACTTTTTCCATCAGAGCCTATAGCATATTAATTGTAGTTGTTTTAAATTCCTGGTCTGATCATTCCAAAATCTCTGTCATATCTGAGTATGGTTCTTATGCTTTTTCTCTTCAAGGTGCCTTTTTTGTCTTTTACTATGGCTTTTAATTTTTGTTAATCCAGACATGATGTACTGGATAAAAAGGAATCTGGTACTGGCTCCACTGGCTATTTCTGCTCCTGGGCTTCTGCTCTAGTAACTGTGATGTTATGTATTTGTCTGTCTGTGATTGACAGCAAATGTAAGAGATTAGTGGGAGGAATTTGAAATACTGGTATAAAGTATTTGCATTACTTGTTATGTGGTATAATATTATTTGAAAGTAACGTTGGATTAGTTTTAAGGTCTATATTGCAAACTCTAGCGCAATAACTAAAAAAAAAGGTTTTTAAGGAAAAGCATCATATAAAATGCTTGTTTAAACTAGAGAAGGCAAAAAAGTGGAAAACAAAAATGAACAAGGGCAATAAATAGAAAACAGTAACAAACACGGTAGATCTAAATCCAACTATATCAATAATCACTAAATGTGACTAGACTGAATATACAAATTAATACAGGACTGTCAGAGTAGTTGATAAAACAAGACTCAACTATGTTTATTACAAGAATGCATTTGAAATATAAAGACTCAGATTAAAAGTAAAGGGATGGAGAAAGATATACCATGCTAACATTAATGAAAAGAAACCTAGACTTAGCTATATTAATTTCAGACAAAGCAGACTTCAGAGCAAGGAAAATGACCAGGAATTATGAATGGCACTTTGTATTGATAAAGTGGTCAATTCTCTAAGAAGACATAATAATCCTTAATGTGTTTGCACCTAACAACATTATCATAATACATGAGGCAAAAACTGATAGAACTCCAAGAAGATATAGCTGAGTTCGCTATTGTAGTTGGAACCTTCAGCATTCCTGTATCAGTAATTGATGGGTCCAGCAGGCAGAAAGTTAGTAAGGGTTTAGTTAAACTGAACAGCACCATCAATCAACTGGTTCTAATTGACATTTGTAGAATACTTATCCAGTAACAGCAGAATACATGTTCTTTTCAAGTTCACGTGGAACATTTACTAAGACCTCATTCTGGGTCATGAATAAATTTTTAAAAATAGACTGCAAAGTATGCTCTCAGACTACAATAGAATTAAACTAGAAATCCCAATAACAGAAAGATACCTGGAAAATCCCACAATATTTGGAGATTAAACAACACACTCCAAAATAATACACAAATCAAAGAAGTCTCAAGAGAAACTTTTAAATATTTTGAACTAAATGAAAATGCTACTCATCAAAATTTGTGAGATGCAGCAAAAACAGTTTAGAGAGAAATTTATAGCATTGAATGTATTTCTTAGAAAAGATGAAAGAGCTAAAAGCAATAATCTAAGATTCCACCTTAGGAAACTGGAAAAAGAAGAGCAAGTTAAATCCAAAGTAAACAGAAGAAAAGAAATAATAAAAATCAGACTTGAAATCAGTGAAAATGAAAACAGGAGAAATCAGTGGAGCAAATCAATGAAACCAAAAGCTGCTTGTTTGAAAATATCAATAGAATTGATAAATCTGTAGCCAGGCTAACTAAGAAAGAAAGAAAACAAAAATTACGATATCAGAAATTAAGAGGGACCATCATTACTGATCCCAGGAAGATTAAAAAGATAATAAAAAATAAGTTTAAAACAAAACAGGGAAGATAAAGGTATATTATGAACAACTTTATGCCCACAAATTTTATAATTTAGATGAAATGGAACAATTTTATGAAAGACAATCTACTAAAATTCACACAAAGGAAAATAGCTACTTTGCTTAAGCCTATATCTATTAAAGGAATTGAATCAATAAATAATAAGTTTCCAAAACAGAAAGCATCAGGCTCAGATGGTTCCAGTGGTGAATTCTACCAAATATTCAAGAAGGAAATGATGCCAATTCTTTACAATCTGTTCTATAAAGTAGAAGCAAAGAGAATGGTTCTGACTCGTTCTATGAGGCCAGCATTACCCCAGTACCAAAACCAGACAAAGACGTTACAAGAAAGGAAAGCTACAAATATCTCTCATGAATATAGGTGCAAGAATCCTCAAGAAAAGTAATGAGATTCAGGGCTGGCCCCGTGGCCAAGTGCTTAAGTTCGCATGCTCCACTTCGGTGGCCCAGGGTTTCACCAGTTGGGATCCTGGGCATGGACATGGCACTGCTTGTCAGGCCATGCTGAGGCAGCGTCCCACATGCCACAACTAGAAGGACCCACAACTGAAAAACATACAAGTATATACTAAGGGGGTTTGGGGAGAAAAAACAGGGAAAAAAAAGTAATGAAATTCAACAATGTATCACAAAAGAGTATATACCATAGCCAGTCACATTTATTACAGGTATGCAAGAATGGTTCAATATTCAAAAATCAATTAATGTAATCTATCACACCATCATACTAAAGCAGAAAAATCATATGATCATACCAATAGATTACAGAAAAGCCGTTTGACAAAATCCAACAGCCATTCATGATAAAAACTCTCAGCAAGCTAGGAATAGAAAGGAATTTCCTTAACTTGATAAAGAACATCTGCAAAAAACTTACAGCTAACGTACCTTCTTAATGATGGGAAACTAAATGCTTTTTCTCTAAGCTCGAGAGCAAGTCAAGAATGTCTCACCGCTCCTAGTCAACATTGTATTAGAAGTTCTACCTAATGCAGTAAGACAAAAAACATCCCAAGAATCAACAAAAAATCTCTTGGAACTAAAGTCCGGTTATAACAAGGTTGCAGGATATAAGGTTAACATACAAAAGTTACCTGTATACACTTGAAAGTCAAAACATCATTTACATTAACGCCAAAAAAAGAGAGAGAGAAATACTTATTATAAATCTAACAGAATATGTACAAGATTTATACGAGGAAACCTACAAAAGTTATAAAAGAAATCAAAGAAGATCTAAATAAATGGAAAGATACTCCATGTTTATGGATAGAAAAACTTAAAGTCTCAATTCTTCCCAAATTGATTTATAGATTTAAAGCAATCCCAATCAAAATCCCAGCAAGTTACTTTGTGGAAATTAACAAATTGATTCTAAAGTTTATATGGAAAGGCAGAAGACTCAGAATAGCTGCCACAATGTTGAAGAAGAACAAAGTTGGAAGACACCAACTTTAAGACTTACTATAAAGCTATAGTAACCAAGACAGTGTGATATTGGTGAAAGAATAGACAAATAGATCAATGGAATAGAACAGAGAGCTCAGAAATAGACCCATGCAAATATGGCCAGCTGATCTTTGACAAAGGAACAAAGGCAGTCCAATGGAGAAAGCTTAGTCTTTTTCAACAAATGGTCTTAGAACAGTACATGCACATGCAAAAAGAAAAACAAATGAAAACAACAAGCAAACAAAAACTAGACACTGACATTACGCCTTTAACAAAAATTAAAATGGATCATAGGCCTAAATGTAAAATGCACAGCTGTAAAACTTCTAGAAAATAACATGAGAAAATCTAGTTTGACTTTGGGTTTGGTGAAGACTTTGTAGATACAACAGCAAAAGTACATTTCATGAAAAAAAATGATAAGTTGGACTTTA